TCTGATCAGCCCTGTATCCCAAGGTGCAGGGCCCCCCAACCTTGGGGCTTATATTCCATGTTAACAGAGTTATATTTGATTTGTGAGGGCAGGTGAGCACAGAGCTGCTACCTGCTGTTGCTGACTCTCTGTGGTTCCCTGAAGGAGAGAAAGAAGGAGAAGGATGTGTGAGAGGTGCCCAGGGATGTCACTGATAGCCTTGGAGTTCTGGCCTGTGCTTCACAGAGAAATGTCTGCACTGTTATACCCCAGGGTAAGGCCCTGTCTGTGCCAGCCCAAGAGCTGCATCTCTCTTCATAGGTGGCTATAGGTCTCCAAATTCATGGCTGTATTCACATGCATTGGTCCTTGTTTTCACTTCCTCCCTCTGTAAGGTCCTCTCCTTGGAGACTGGATAAATAACATGACTGGGAAGCAGAGTCTGAATGAGCCGCAGAGCCCATCTGTATGGGAAGATCTCTCATGTTGCTTTTCCCTCAGCATGACTGCCCAGTACAGCAGAAAAAATGTATGTTTGAAGACATTCACCCCACTTTTGTGCTGGGTATAAGAAGCCCTCCTAATCAGGTGAAGTGTACTGGTGGCATTTTCTGCCCTGCCACTCCAAAGCTTATATGAGCCAATTTCACTGATTATAGTGGTGACGGATGAAATAGTAGAGGAGTATGACATTTATCTGGAAAGAAAACACCTTTGTGTTTGCTGTTTGATGCAGAGATCCCTGATAAACTCAAGATCACTGCCTTGTGAGCTGCCTTACCTGTCCTAATAAAAACAAACAAGAAAAACTAACAAGAATTTGCATAATTCATGTAGAGTAGGGAGGAGAAGGATTATAGCTGTATTTTCAGATCCCACATTTTTGGAGTTAACTTTTCTAAGTATTTAACTGAGTTTGGAAAGTCTTATTAAAACTTTCATTTGAATCTAGTGTCATAAAATCCCACTCTACTTCGTTAGTCAGGGCCAGTCACTGATACCTAAGAGCAAAGCTTGATAGGGTGGTCAGACTGATCAGAAAACCTCCCATCAAACATGTTTTTAATAAATTTGTTAATTGTCACAAAAAATACTGTACTTCAAGAAAATCATTACCAGTTTTCATCAAATCATTGAAAAGACCAAGTTCAACAAGTCATTGATTGACATCTGAAAAGGTCTAGTAGCAGCTAGAAAGGTTTTGATTTGCAGGTTACTGGTTTTCCATCAAAAAGTCCCTTCAGCAATTTGTAAAGATCCCTTCCCCTAGGCTTTTTTCTTTCCCAAAGAAGGATTGAGTAAACAACATCCTGATACATCGTCTTTTCCTCCTTTCCCTGTAACAGAAAGTTGGTACCAAAGAACCGTCAGAAGTACCTGTGGCTCCTGTGACTGCAGTGATGGTGAGCAAAACAATGGTGTACATGGTCTTCCTGACATCTTCCGAAGTAGCTCTTGCATTTGTGGGTGATGGGGGTTTCTTGCACCATCCAGCTTGCTGTGAGCTCCCCATCAGCCCCTGCCAGTGATCCTCAGCAGCCAGAGTCACTGCTCTTCCTGTGCTCGAGAGGCCCTCTGCAGCTAAAAGTGGGTGTTCGTCCTAGTGCAAAGCTTCTGTGCTGAGAATTGGTGAACAGAGGAAATGGTATTGGTATTTTCTCCCTGACCATTGGCCTTCTGTATCATGTTACTGCGGGAAGACAAACTCTATAGCAGAACTTGCACAAAGTCTAAGCAGTGTGATTTTCATGTCTGGCTCTGATCTCACAGTGAGAATTTTATCGTTGGGAACCAGGGGAAGGATATTTCTTAGCTTACTGCTTAAAGCTAATTCAAAAAAAATCTGCTAAAATAAATCCCTCTTCCTCCCCACTCTATCCTTCCCCACATGCCTAACAGCCTAAGACCTGTTCTCTAAAAGGCACTGGCAATCACCTCTCCCCTGGAGGGAGGGAAGGTAGGTAGGTACATTGTACATTTATATTACATCTCTGTTTCTCTGATAAAAGTACATCTACGGACAGTTAGGCCAAGGTTGCTTTTTTTTTTGCACCACTGTTTTGTTTGTTTCTCTAACTGTTCTGGTACTATGTTTCCTCCCACATATACACAAGTGAATACTGAAGGTCATTCCTGTGCTGAGCTGCGGGATTTTGTTTAGTGCCAGAACAGTCCCTTAACTTTTACAAGGTCCTTAAAGACGCTTCCCCAAGCTACTACTGTCCATCTTCCCATGTGATTAAGACTGCTGTCTTACACCAGCAAAGACAGCTTCCCTAGGTATAAGATGAACCTCCCTGGAAATTAATGCATTGAATTTAATTTTGTCAGAAAAAATGTTAGCCTCCCCAAGCTTTGAAGCCACCAAGCTGAAATGAGTTGGTGACTATTTGCCTGTTCTAAGAACAGAGCTCTCTCCCCACAACTATTGTCACAGCAGATTTATGTATTTCCATGGCTGTGCTGAAAATGTGCCTGGAAGGGCTTCAGTTCAGTGGTCAAACAGATGCACGATGTCCATGAATGGAAGGAATCACTGGCAGGCAGGCAACCATGTCTCTCCCTGCCCCAAACAGCGGGTGCCATTTAACTAAAAAGCATAGCACACATTTCTGACTCAAAGGAAAAGCTGGGTAAGTTCAAAAAAAAAGTTAGGCAAACTGTGTTCACTGTTCTTATATTCAGAAAAGCCAACAGCAGCAATATAATGAAATCTTCACCTGTGCTGGCCGTTGTTGCTGCAGTTATACCTTCCAAAAGTCACTTTGTCAAACAACTTCAGACAGCTACCTGTACCTTGGTCAGAGCAGCTTCTGCTTCAGTGCTGTGCGGTTTGGCGGTTAAGTGCAACAACCATTTCTCATGTTTAGAGGCAGGTCCAAGACGCAAAGATCACATTTAGATCCCTGCAGTGCAAGACACACCATAGTTTCAGCCATAGAATCTGTGGGTGACGTAGCTCAGCACTGAATGGCAGAGGCAGCAAGAAACAATGGTCCAAGTAATGAAAATCAGAAGCTTTCAGGGTCCTAATCACTTGGGGTTTAATTTGGAGCAACATACCCAGGCACCTGGAAGAATCTAGAGTCATTTTAGAAACAAAGACAGGAAAATTCTTGATAAATGGAAAGGGAGAACTCACTACAGCATGTGATGCAGCCTAGTCCAGTTATCTTGGGGGTGAGGCCTAATGTTTTTGGGTTTGGGTTTGATGTTTTTTTGCTGAAGATTCTGCTGCTCTCTGATAGTGAAGATGATGTCTGAAAATCATGTTCTTATTTCTTTAGTTAGCCTTTTGGGTTTTGAGTCTTTGGATTACAGTCGGGCCACAGCACAGCAACTTACTGTGTGACCATGAAGAGCAGGAAGGTTGTATATGGGCAATTTGCCATGGGGAGAGTGGATGGGTAGTTTTTATTTTTGTAATCCCAGACTCTGAGTCTGATGTTAGAGCTGGAGCCAGACAGCACGGTAATATTGTGGCAAGAGCACCACTGTTGTGCCCCAGGCAGCTGATCCAAGCAACTGAGCTGTTGGACCTGATTGCTCTCCACTCACGTCCAGCACAGCCCTGGAGCTAGTTTTAAGTGTCCTTCAGTGTTAGATTGTTTCCTCCTCAGCTCAGAAGACTTTTGAGACTCTGTTTTACTTGAAGTCGTAGTGTACCATGAACAACTTTACAATATCCTTTTTCCTTGGTGGTGTTTCTCGCTTGCTACCTTACTTTTTATAGCCATTCAGCAAGAGCCCTGCTAAAGGGCTCTAATATGTACATCATACCTCTAGCAGAGGGACTTAGCCTCCCCCTCTTCCCCACCTCCTACTGCTGTACCAAATGCTGGTTTTAGCTACCCACCTGGGTGTTTCAGAGCATGCTGCTAAGTAGCTGCTCAGTGGTTATTTGTAGCTCAGCCGCCGGGGAGTGCACAGTTTTGCAAACGTTGGCTTCATGCTGCTGCTGTGCGGTCCCTCTGTGAGGGCTTTTGTCAGGGCCCAGGCTCCAGCTGCGCTTTCCTCTCCATCTCCTGGTCAGAGCAAGCAACGCTCACCTTGAAGAGTTCTTGTTTTGTTTTTTTTTTTCCAAATGATTGACTGTATTACGTTCAAAACAAAACATTTTGCTTTCAGGGATGTTCTTTGTTGCTTTCTAGTATTGATGTGGTAAGTTTGAGTTAACTTTTTGTGTTTGTAATTCCTGAACTAGGGCATTTCCTTTTGGGAGTGAAGAGGAATGCATCTGCTGAAACTATTACTGGATTTATAAATTATCAAACAAACACTTTGCCTGCATCAGAAATGCTTTTGGGCCAGATCATTCCAGAATACTGTAATCTGAGCAAACGTGTTGTAGATCTGCAAGGAACAGAACGAGACCATCCCCACCAGCTCTTATAATGTGAAACACGGAACTGCGGGCTACGTGAGCCATCAGTACCCCGAGTTGTGTTGCATGACGGCCTTTGGATGCTATAACCACAAAAACTTCAGTATGCTAACAAGGGCAATCTCAAACCGATGAGGTAATAAAATTACATTTCTAGACAATTATTATAAAAACCCCCTAAGATATGTTGTGGGATCTCAGCCATGCAACACTAGGTTCTTGCATAGGCTGGTAATTTGCTTGGAAAGTTGTAGCAGCAATTATATTGTTTGAGCCTTTTTTTTTTTCATGCCACTGCACTGTTTTAGCACAGATACAAATCGTATGAAGGCGGGAGCTCTGCTGATAAAGCTGGTTAGGGCCGTGGAGCACAGACGTGTCCCCACATAGCTTTATCCGATATTCTGAATGTCTCTGCAATAAAATCACTGTATGAACATGCAGCACAGCAAGACTGGGGAGGAAACACATGACATTGTCTTCCTTCTTTAGCAATTCAAGATTTACCTGCTGCCACCACAGTCCTGGTCATATCCATAGCAACCGACATTAAGAAAACAAAATTTTATCTCAAATCTGTTCTTGATCATACGGTTCTCCCTCCCACCTGCACTGATCACATTGTCATGTGTCAACTTTTCCAGTTGTCAGTGTCTTCAACAGTCAGTGTTATTGGCACTCCTTCTATTTTTTCAGCCCAGATTGAAGGGGTTTCTAACCGATTTAGTGCCCTTAAGACAGAATTTCCTCCTCTTCTGCATATTTACAGCACTGTTGTGCTAATGCCCAAGGCCAACTCTGACAAAACAGATGGCATAGTTCTGTCTTATGCTCTTTGCCTCTCCTCAAAGACTGAAGTACAAAACCAAACTCTGCAGCAGAGATTGGACCAGGTACAGATGGAAGAGATTCATTAAATTTGAGATCAATATGAAAAAGAATTTCAGTTCTGTGAAGCCAAGGGAAACTACTCTTCAGCTAGGACTAGAAGTGTTCACTGCCACATGAATGATGATGCCTCTCTCTTCCACCACTTTACTCAAGAACTTTTCAAAAACTTTCCCACTAATCAGTATTATTATTTGGTGGGGGTTTTTTACTGTTTTGTTTTGTTTTGTTTTGTTTTTTGTCTTGGAATGTCCAGCCTTTAAGAGGTTTCTGGCTTTGAATTCCTTCTGCAGGAAAGAGATACTTCTATTTTCCCCTAAACAGAACAGTTTGCATAGAGGAAAACGCAGAGCTGCTTTGTTCTTTATACAAGTAATTCAGCCTTTAAAACTGTCTGTCCTACTAACTCCAGCTCCTAAACCACCTTCCAAGTGGAAGGAGCATAGGCTGCATTTTAGGAGAAAGCACAGATTTGGACACAGTGAGCAGTGCTCTTAATGTCACAAAAAAGCAGAAAGGTTGGTGTGTGTGCTCTGTCCTTTCTGGTGTGCTTCCTTGGGACAATATTTGGTCTCAGTTCCTATTCTTGGAAATGAAGCTCAAAAGCCCAGTTGGCTTTGGCTCACAAGACCTGAACTGACTGCCCCAAACACACAAGGACCCCTCACGGCTCTCCCAGAACTCCATCTCCAGCTGGTCTCACAGCTACTCTTCTCTGAGAGGTATCTGAAATGAATGATGGTTTTGACCTGTCGCACGATGCTATGATAGACAAGATAAAACCAGACAAGAAAACTACTGTCACTACTCCCTTCCAGCTCCACGCTCTTAACCATTCTTTGGGATTTAGGTCAGTGTCAATGGTTATACATCCCTCTTTCATACTCCAGAGGAATGATTGTCAGAGTTTTTAATGTGGACTAAATTATTTTTGTAGTCATTCCCTAACATCTGAGCTACGTAACCTGCAACTGAAAGAGACATCTGCTGCCACAGATACGAACCACAGAAAATTTTAGTCTGAATGCCTGATGTTTGCCAATAATATACAGAATAGAAAGTAGAGTCTTTCAGGGGAGACACAAAGCAGGCTTAAATGTTGATATTTTACTAGCTCTGTCCACAGTAACCTGCCATTTCCAGTCTCCATACAGTCTGCCCCCAGAGAACCTAGACTGCAGTTCGGTCCAGGAGAAAAAACCCACCTTGCACTGAAACACACAGTTCTGATCTTCAGGTAT